ATAAGATACTTTCATCATCCACGTTATTATGTATTCTTGAAGGCATAGAATCAGAGGCTTCTTCATCCGTAAAACGAGCACGCAATGCACAGAGGTTAATCATGTTGTTCATAAGAATCATAATACTTTGACGATTCTTCACTAGAATGTCAAGTTGTTGACACTGACTCGTCAATGAAGAATGACATAATAGAATACAATCTTCTTCATTGAAATAATGTTTACAATTTTGTAAATACAAATAACGAATTGATGATGGAAATGTACAATTAAAGAATGACATTGGCAAAGGTAATGATGTATCTTGATGAACAATCAATGTGCGAAGATGAGGCATTCGATTGAGTAAAGCTTGCAATTCCGATTGTAAAAGATCAGTAGAGAAATCTAATGAAAGTAATGTGACTTTATGTAAATTTGGAATCATCGACCAGTATTGATCATTGATAGGACATTTTACTGAAAGCGAATCAATGTTTGGAAAACAAATCTTTGATGAAATTGGTTGCTTGGAAAGTTCCACATCCGAGATATGACGGATAGAAGTATAAAGTCTTTCAATAGTATCTTGTGAATCTGTTGATTTGAATACAATAGGAAGCTTAGTACCAATATAATGCAATGCTTTTGACACAGTCTTAAAACGAATATAGTGTCCATCATTTATACATTGAATAAACCACCGATGTTCATCAATCCAGAATGAAGTTCGAAATGAATTCATTAATTCATCAATTTGTTCCTCTGTCATCAATCGAATACGAGATAAATCTGACATTGATAAATGAAATGTTCTCAGTTTTGGTAAATAGTTACGTATGAGATCTGCCCATTGATAACCATCAATGAAATAGGAACCTCTTATTGAAATGTTCAGACGATGTAAATTCGGTGTATTTTGCAAAAATGAAATGATTTCCGATGGAAGAGCTTCAGCAATAAAAATGTTTAAACTGGTCAATGTTGAGAAAGATGATCTTATATAATCGTCACCATTCTTCAAACAATCAATATATCCGTACAAATATTTAAGATTAGGTGTATATTGAAACAATCGATTGATTGAATTCAAATTTAATTTCTCGGTACTGGTAGATAAATATTTGAGTGATGACGAGATCTTTGACGGTAAAATAAACGATCGTTGTCTTGTCTTATGAATAGCGAAATAACAATGAGTTAAGTTTGGCAAGTTCCAGATATTATTCGTCAGCAATTCGAAATCCGTTTCATCATAATCTGGGATACAACAAGAATAGAACTTTAAATGAGTAAGTTGAACAAGATGAGGTAACTCAATGGCAACTTTTAGTAGAATTTCTTTTGAACGAAGATAAGATAATGAAAGCGAACGTAGTTGAGTGAATTGTCTCAATGATGGTATATAAGAAAAAAATAGATTGATTTGTCCTGGATTTGATTCAGAGTCCGAAAGATGAATAGCAAGAATGTGATCAGCGATCAATGGAATATGTTGTTGACATATTAGATCAAATCTATGTTTGAACAGTATAGAGAAGTTGAAGTAATAACGGTAATATTGCTTGTAGAGAAGAGCAGTGATACGAGTATTAAGGCCATAAAATGTATAAAGAAGACTATTACCCTTCAAATAATCAAAGAAAGTAAGTAAGATCTCATTAGGTAATAAGTTAAAATTCATTGCTTTCTCTTCAATGCATATGACTCACTGTATAAATAGGATACAGTTTAACAATGGCCGTCCTTTTTATCGGTCATGATTGATTGTATTGATAAAATATATCCGATACTGCATCTGACTAGTCCAGCTCATCCGTGAAAATGGCTCCGAATTATTGGCAAACATTGAGAGTATGAGTTTATCGTATTTATTCTACCCACATTCATATTCATTTCTGCGAAGAGAAACAGATCTTGTTAGTATATTCACTACGAACCAAGTCATTTTCATTTAATTCAAAGTTGTATATTTAGTTTTAATTACCTAAGAAATCGTGTTTTTGCAATGCTTCCTGTAAACGAAAGGGTATCAATTTCATGTTGATACTTTTTATTTCAATAATTAAATAAGATGCAAGCACATTTTGCACCACCTCTTCAACTAAGTAGCTATTTTGATTTCATCAAATATATTATCAGCTTCATCAAAGAGCAATAAAAAAAGAATGAATGGAAGGAAGCCACTGAACAACAATATTTAGAGAAATCATCATTAAATTGTTTAATTATTAATCTAGAAGGATTTAAAGAAGCAGCTGAAATGTCATCAAATAATATTAATTTAACATCAGTGGATGAACATTTAAAAATTCGTGAAGTTATTGATATTATTAGTAAGAAACACTCGAGTTATTTGGTTAAAATCGACAATTGGCATTTCATTTAAAGGTATTTACCCTTTTGAGATTTTTCATATCGTATTATTTATTTTTATTATAGCAACAACAATTAATTGATGATGCTTTATCTTATGCTTAAATTCATTTAGCTGAATTTGCTGAAGATGAAATAATTATGCGACAAGAATTAGAAAAAACTATGGCATTATTAGTTTTTGATAAACCATGAGAATCTTCGTATGGTTATTTAATGCAAATATCACATCGACAATAAGTTGCTAATGAAATTAATAGTGCTTTATTAATTCATCAAAACGAACAATCAGAATCGGATTCATCTATGCTTGTTCGAATGGTTACATATATGCAAGACAAATTAGATAATAAATCTTTATGTTATCCAAAATTAATTGATATATCAACAGAAAAATTCCTATGATTTTCACATGCTAATTGTGCATTAAAATTTATTCAAGGAATTCTTGTTGTTTATCATTAGTTAAGAATTCAATACTTGATTCGGAATTATTTGTGTATGTATAACCTTAATCAATAAGAAAAATTTGTCGTTTTGATAAATGATTGTATAAAAACAGACGAAGTATTCTCGTTGATATTAATAATATCTAAATGAAACCTTTCTTTAGACGTAAAATTCGATTAAGTCGTTGTGAACAACCATCACTTGATATTTGAATAGTGACATTAGCTTCAAGTAAATCAAATAATGTATCGCCAACCTATATTCCATTCATTTTTTTATAAATCGATATAGAAAAATGGACTTATTTTCGAAAAAAAGATAGTAGTAATAATATACGAAGAATGAAAATCTACTTGACAAGTTTTAATGCACACAGATTTTAACTGCAAATGGATTATCACTAAAAACGATCATCTCATTATTTCGTTATTCATGATATTCAATTGTTGTTCATCGAATTGTGAGATATAATATTTTCATCATATTGAATATGATTTGAAAATGAAGTACTTTCCGGCCCAGGTCGTTTGTTCATGATCCTTCTCTTTCGTCATGTATTGAATTATCAACTTCGAATGTTTTACTAATAGAAACAATAATCGAAACTTGTCAATGAACTGATTCACATTTATTTTTATATTTATAATTTGTTCATCTTCAAACTTCTACGATAAATAAATGTTGTTTCCAATAAATTGACAACTATTGAGCAGAGAAAAGAAGTCTAGTCAATAAAACAACATAATTAATTCATGAGATACATATTCATTTGCTTGTTGAACATTAAACTAATGATATTAAAGAATTTGACTCGACAATACTGTGACTTTTGAGAATAAGATAAAATACATTTTATTTCTTTTTCTTTTTACTTACATGTTAGAAATAAACTACCATTCATTAAAAATGTTCTTCTTTTCGAAAGAGTAAAATTAAAAAGCAATTTAATAAAATCTTTAGACAAGAACTTTTATTTTATTTTTCAATTATTTCTAAATTTTTCCTTTGATAAAAAAAAGCTTTCTTTAAATAAACGAGAAATTGTTCATTAAAGAATTGAAATTGCGAATTTATTATTTCTCTTCAATTTCGAATTGTTAATAAAATAAAACAAATTTGATCTTTTGTTTATTTGTATTTTAATAAACTATTTTATTTTAATTTGAATATTTAAATGTAAAAAGAATTTTTTGTTTCAAGAAAAAGATTTTCTTAATCTAATCTTTCGATTTTGACAGAATTCATTCTTATTTATTTATCTCTTTCTTTTCTCTCAATAAATCATAAAATCACAAAAAATAAATCTAATCAAATTTCTATTTAAAAGTTATTTTATTAATTTAAATTTTTTTTTTCAGTTCAGATAATATTTTATTTGATTTTTCTATAAAAATAAGATTTTTCTAATTGAATTTTCTTTGAAATTCTTTTAATTTGATTCATTCAACAAAAATTCTGTCCGAGTTATTTTATTCATTTTGGTTTTTCGATTTAAAATCAAAATCAAAAAAAACATTTATTTTCTTTTTTTCTAAAAATGAAAAACAAATTTATTTATTATATTAAAAAATTTTTTAAATCCATTTTCATTTATTTTCTTCAAGATTTTTCATAACTTGATATTTTTTATTTATTTTCAAAAATAAAATCGAA